TTTTAAATGCATAGTCTTTGATTTTACAGCTTCTTTTTGGACCAAGGACACCTTTGAAAATCCAGTGAAAGCTCTGCATGTGTGCCCACACGCTTTGCATGCAGTTTAAAGGAGGTCACAAACCTCACTATAGTGACTGTACCATGAGCTATCGCCAATCCCATGAGCTCTCCAATACCAACACACGACGGATAACAAAACTGTCATGATACCACTTTGTACTTAAATATCACTTCACAGTTTAATATACTCCTGAAATTACTAAGTAAATGACTTAATCAATTGGAGTGAACTTTAAAGACATCAAACAATTTGATATCTACAAGGAGTTCTCTAAAGACTCATAAGAGACGTAACATTGAGTATGGCTAAGTGCAGGAAATAGATCATGGAAATGACCACTGGCCTTTAGCACGGAGTAGTGACCCATGCAGATCTGAGCAGACTCAGCATCAAACTGAGAGACCATGTGATGTGTACACACAACATTCCACTCTCACCAGACAATTCTGTTGGCAGACAATTCTCTCGGCTGCCAGGGTCACGGGTGCTGTTGGAGGGGTATGCAACTATGACTGGGTTAGCATGAGGGAGGCCTTGGTGGTAATGAAATAGTTCAGGATCTTCACTGAGATAATTATGGTAACACAATCCACAAATGTGATAAAGAGGCACAGAGCTATATGCACAGATGGTACCAATGGCAAGTTCCTGGTTTCATCCTGTACTGTAGTTATGGAAGATGTAACCACTGGGGAAAACCAGATGACGGATGCATAGAGCCTCTCTACTATCTTTGCAACATCCTGTTAATCTATACTTATTTCAAAATAAAAAGTTAAAAAAAACCCTCATGGCTATTAATCAAGGGCTGCAGATGTTTCTTGGATATAAATACATTCAGATCATCCAGTTCAATAGAGAGATTTAAAAAAACACAAATATCACAGCATCTATGCTCCAGACACTCAAGCTCTTTCTTTCTTTCTTTTTTTTTTTTTTTTTGAGACAGAGTTTCACTCTCCTTACCCAGGCTGGAGTGCAATGGCGCGATCTCGGCTCACCGCAACCTCCGCCTCCTGGGCTCAGGCAATTCTCCTGCCTCAGCCTCCTGAGTAGCTGGGATTACAGGCACACGCCACCATGCCCAGCTAATTTTTTGTATTTTTAGTAGAGATGGGGTTTCACCATGTTGACCAGGATGGTCTCGATCTCTTGACCTCGTGATCCACCCGCCTCGGCCTCCCAAAGTGCTAGGATTACAGGCTTGAGCCACCGCGCCCGGCCCTCAAGCTCTTTCTTAATTCAGCCTCCAGCTCCAACACAGAAGTCAAGTCATTCCCCAGGCTGGCCTGGACACCTGGTCACGTGCTTCTCAAACCCTAACAGCTCACCTCTGACTAAAGGTAAGGCAAAGAAGCTTTAAAATTTAAACCATTATTTTCTACAAAACAGGAACAGACAACCATTTTCCCACAAAGTTATGCTACAGCATCAACCACTGGTGTCTCTGATGAAGCTCAACAGAAGCTGCTAAGGCCTAACCAAATCCCTTCGATGGAGATTTTTTGTTAAATGCAACCGAGTTCATTCACTTCTACAGGAGTGTGGTAAGGGAGAAAGAAGGCTGATTTCGGAATTGCAGGAACACAGACTTGAAGCCCACGTGTGCCATTTTGGAGCGTTCTAACAATTATCTCTGTGCCTCAGTTTCCTCACTGCTACAGAGGGATGCTGATGCCTATGTGACAGGATTGCTGTGACAATGAAATGAGCCCAAGTGTCCAACACAGGATTTGGCACACAGATGCTTAATAAAACTGGAATTCTGTGACGGCAGTCAGGAGCTGTAGAAATTAAAATCAGCAGGCTGGGCTTAACTCGAGAGGGGTGCTGTTACCCAAGCCAAGAATGTGGTTAACGCCAAGGTTCTGGAACTCCAGATGCTGAAGACAAATCAGCGTCAGCACCTAAGTGGAGCACACGCAGAGCTCCTGCTACCTTAACGGCCCACACTACCATGGTTTCCGGACTCTGGAGGTAGGTGACCTCCAGCAACACCTTGGCCTCTGCAATGCCAAATATAAACCCAGGTCGACGCGGCTATGCGAGTCAAGTGAAGCAGCAACAAGCAATACCACGGCCAACTGAGGACGGGAGCAAAAAAGGTGGTATTTTCAAACAAATCTGATCAAAGGCGTCCTGTCTTTGGCTATAAGGGCTGTTGTAACTCAAAGGTAAGGTTTCTTAGCAACAGTCTACTCAAGGAAGGTACAGGTATACCTCAATAAAAGCAAACAATACATAAAAATCCACATGGATGTCAAAGATCAATTGAGAGGTCATTCCGCTTTACAGAAAGATGTTCTTATCTTAAATGTGATTATATTTAAATAGATTCTGTTTTCTGCACACATGCGGGCATCTGTCTGACGGAAACACTGCCTAGGCCCGACCTCCTCAGTGTGGCACGCGGGCCAGCAGCAGCCTGCCGGGAGCTCCTCCGACGCGGATGTGCAGCTCTCCGGCCCCGCCCAGGCTTCAGGAGTCGGAACCTGCAGTCTCACAAGGAAGGCCTGTGTCCACGGCAGGACTTGAGCTTTGTTCTCAGGGTTACTCACGACCCCAAAGCCAGCAGCTCTCAGTACAGCTGCACGGCAGGCTGCCCCGCATTCTCAACCCTCACTCCTTACCAAACGAATGCTAGAGTAACTGCTGGGACCAGCTGGGGAGGCACTGAATTTTTTTTCCTCCTTTTGTAACACAGACACCTGGACCCTAACCCAAGATTTAATGTAATTGGTCTTGGGCAGGATGCTGGCATTAGCCTTTTGTTTAAAGCTCAGTAGGCAGTGCCAGGGCAATGACCCTGTCGAGAACCATGGCCACAGACCGATGGCAGAGCCTGGTAAAAGACGGCCTCACCAACACGTAAGGCCTAAATCCAGCACCCGTAGAAAACACTGAACTGGAAAGAGAGAGGAAGACTGACTACCAGAAATCTTGCACAAAACACCATACTGCAGCAAGGGCGATCATCTCCACACCAACTGGACCAGAAGAGACTTTCCGGGGCTAGCATCAGGGAACTGTTTCTGAAGCTCCTCAGACACAGGTGGGTGTCACACTTTAACATGACTCAGCCACCAAAAAGTCAAGTAATAATAGTGTTGAAAACCTCAAGGCACCCGACACCAATAATTCCTCAAGCAGTAATCTGCCAGAAGGTCAGAAACCTCTGATCTCTTACAACTAAGAGCTTTCTGCAACAATCACATAAATCCTCTTAAAGTTCTACAAAAGCCTACAAGTACAAGTTGTATTTCCTTCTCTGATCTGGTCAATTCTACATTTTCGAAGAGGGTGCCCACGAGGGCAAAGGCTGGGGGTGGTGGGTGGGTGGCAGGGAGAAGAGAGAGGATCAACGTGCAGGGATCTGGAGGCGCCAGTGAGAGGCACGTGAGCCCACGGGGCTGGGGAGATGGGGGTTATCTCAAAGTGTGGGAGGGATGTGGAGCTCAGGGTGGAACTGTGGGGTGGGGGCAGCTGTTGGGCAGAGCAGAGGAGATGGAGTGCAAGAGACACAGGACTGGAATTCCAGTTCTTCCTGAGGACACAGAGATGACTGAGGAGAGTCAAGGAAGGTGACTGGAGAGGAGGCTGGGATAAGCCAGAGGCCACGTCCTCGGTGAAGAGGAAGAGTAGCCTAGTCCAGGTCTCACGCTGAGCACTGAGGGCAGACATATAACCAGAAGCCAGCCTGTCTTACCAAGCTCCTTCCAGCAGCTCCTTGTGAAGGAGCAGCTGGCACGGCCTGATGTTAGAGCAGCTTCGCCCTAGTGACTGCTGCCTTTCCCATGACTCAACACAGGACAGCAGGCACCAAAGCCAGGTCTCCTTTCCCGGCCTGCTGCTTCCACCTGCTGAGGGTTGAGGGGCAGACAAGGGCTAAACTGGGACTCGGGAATTGAGTCCCAATCTGCACAGGAAATTGCCAAACAAGACTTCTAACCGCTGTAATTCTGGACTCTCTAAAAACTATTAAGAAACAAATAGCTACCACCCTAGAAATATAGATTGCTGTCAGTCTGGAAAAATGCCAGGAATGAATAAATCAAGTCTTCTTTTTAGTTCTATGGTCACCAAAGGCCCTGGCTAGGAACCAATAAAAGATCAGTACAACATACCAGGTTAGCTGAGTAATAGTGGTTGCAACCATATAGTCCAGATTTCTTAGACAACGCCAGTTCTAAATATTTTTAGCCTGTTATTTTCAGAAATCGATATTTCAAAATCCTAATACATCTCAAACTATATCCAGGACTGTCTCTTACACTTAAGAACGGCACAAAAAATTCTTTGCGATATTATACAGCCCAATTTAATAATCAGGATTCTAAATTATGGAGTTTATTCCATTTAGGGTGTAGTTTAGTCACCTCATTCTTTTCTCCCAGTTGTAAAGCAAATAATATTGTATAATAGAGGAAATACTCCATCTAACCCCCTTACAGGTGGTGCTGACCCAGCGCTGTCTCAAAGGCTTTTAGAATGGAATAGGCTGGTTCCAGAGGATGATGGGGACATTCTTGCTCCCTCTTCCACTCCAAAGGGAGTAACACAGTCTGAGCAGAACAGACAAAACCCCTCCCTCTTTCGGCCACGGAAGAGACATTTTCTCCTCTGATTATATCAGCAAGGGGTATTCTTTCCCAAGTTTAATCTAGTCCTCACACCAAAACAAAAGGAACAAAAGCCAAACACCAGATGACGATTATTCTGTTTTTTTTTTTTTTTTTTTTTTTTTTTTAAGTTTCCTTATAAAACTTATCTACCCACTATTATTACCAAAAGGCTCATATCTAGGCTATGTAAGAAGCCTCCAAAGTGTTTTGGAAACTTTGTCTGAAAAGTACTAGCCATAGATATAAACAGTCCTAGAAACAGGTGAAAATCAGACAGTATTAAAGCGGAACACGGAACTGCACATGGCTTTATACCTCAGGAGTCTTCTTACTCTGTCTTTTCCCAAAAATGCAGTCAAGATCTGTTTTGCTCCGAGATGATAGATCCTTCCCTAGAAAAACAATGTGATGCTTTTCAGTAAGACCATTCTCACTAAAAGAAGGAGCACAAACATAATTTATGCAACACCTGAAAGGAAAATGAATTCTGGAAAAGAAACCAACAATTCTGTAACTACTGACTTTCTACCCACTTTTTCATTACAACTCTGTCATTAGCAAACTAAATTGATTGAATTTTAAAACCAAGAAAATGTTTTAGAACCACAACTCTTGACATTCTCTTAATTGCAGAAACAACCCAGAGCAGAGAGACTGCAAGGAAAGCTCAGTTCCACAGCTCACCCCACTCCTGCGATGTCCGCAAGGTGCAATTCCTGCATCTCTGGGTTTCCCGTTTATAAAACAGATCTCATTCGCTTCAGAAACACGAGCTACTGACTTAGAAGACTGTAAAATACAGATTAAAAAATACTACTAGATACATAGCTTCACACTCCACATATGCACATGAATGAGAACACAGCATATTTGACAAAAGGAGCTTAATAATCAACTCAAGAAATAAAAACTTTAAAAGAATATATGTGAATAAAAAATACTGTATAAGGGTCACAGGGTTTCAGATTTTTCTCTTTAAAATGTTCTTTACTGCTCTCGCTATATTGTAAAGGCTGCAGAAGGAGAGCAGGAAATTAAATGGCTCTACGATTCTCATTTCAAACACTAAACTCTTTCCTTTTGAACCCACAAACGAACTGATATAAAATTCACTTCTTTGGAATTTCCACCTCTACTCAATAATCCTCTATGAGCAGTAAGCCAAATCTATTCCCACTTATCAAAGGCCACAGTAAATGGATTTTAAAATGTAGCTACTCCATGTAAAGGCTTGAGGCTCTGAGTGAGGGAGGTTCTGGGTCAGACACAGGAATGTGAGTTTCACGCTGGAAGCCCGAGTTCACCGTCACAGACTCACTTGTCTTCTTGGTTTCCTGTAGCACACTGACTTGGCAAAGTAATGTCATGACCCAGAAGGTTCTAGTTCACTGACTATCACCGGGGCACTTAAATATGATATTGCTCAGTGACTCCGCGAAATTAAAAAAAAAACAAAACACCCTTCAATTTAATGCAAAGCCAGGTGCCAAAACCAGTTTCCTAGGCAGCAGTACCAGATGGAGTGGCCCAGGCGGTATGACCTGTTCCTGACAGGAGGGCAGGCTCCCCTGGGCTCTGCCTGCTGCTCTCCTTCCTACCTGAGCCCGACACTAAGCCCTCCTACTTCTCGTTTATGAATAAATAGGACCCTACACAGAAAGACCCAACAGAAAACCTACTACGAACAGATGAAGCACATCACAGATTGTGCAGAAAATGAACCGGAAAAGTGGGGAAGAAAACCTGTAGCGGGAAGAGGTGGACAAAGTCATCGGACGTGCAGGGATGTCCTCGCAGCTTTGCTGCCAGCACAACCCATTTGCCAGTGCAAAGCACATTCAGGGTGGCAAACTGCTACTTCAGAAAAGGGTGCTGTACTTAATTCAAAATGTGTATTGGCCGTCTGTCTCTATCCTCTGGAATACAGACACTCTAGAAAATGCAAATTATGATCTTTTGTGACAGCCATTCGACTAAAAGGAATGCTGGAGGGATTAAGGAAGAGACAGTACATGCAAGATCACAGTTCTAAAACACAACGTCGAAATATGAACACCGAGATTCAACACAGATCTCAAAGTCAAAGGCAACACTGTGAGGCTGGCAGCGACAGCAAGCTATACCAATGAAGGTGCAGCTGTGTCTAAAGTTTTGATGATGGGTTCTTGTATCAGAAATGTTTATCCTTTAGCAAAGTTCACTTAAGTAAGTGTAGAAACCAGGACTGTTACAGGCCTTGCTCTGGATTTGATCTGGAAAACAAGAACACAGACAAGAAGAAAGAGTCAGAGACGAGTGGAAAGGAACACGAAAGGTGGATGAAATGGTGAAGATGGAAGTGGCTTTGAGTCAGTTACTAATTAATGGTCCTGATGGAAAGCTTATAAACACCAGAAAATTATGGCCACTTCTGAATAAAAACCATCAATTTAAAAAACATTTAAAAAGCTCATTTTGTTTCAGTTCTGAATTATGGTCAAATCATACAAAATACTGTTGATAAACTCAGAGAAAACAATTGAGAAAACTGAATAGGAAACAGATCTGGTTCATCTACTAGTCTTCAATGTCTGCGACATTTCCAGAACCAGTAAAAAAGGCCTCCGAGAGTCAAACTGAAAGTCCCTGCAAGGATGAGCAGATCCTTTCACGGAAGAGTACTCTATTTAGGATCCTTTCAGCTGTTTGTCTAATGATGATGATGACCAGTTTCCCAGTCTGTCAGAGTAGCTACTGGGAAGGGAGGAACATGACTGCTACCGTCAGACCCGTTTACAATACCAACAAGCCCACATGGGAAGCAACTAAAACCATAAAAAACAGAGACGAGAACTGAGGAATCATGTCTAGGATGATTTAGGAACAGTTTAGCAATAACCCAACAAGCTCTAAGGAGCAAGCTGCATTAGAACCGCGGTAGAACTGAGGCTCAAAAAACCAAATCTACGGAAAAGTCGAGTTGAGTTGCCCAGTGTAAAGAAGCGAAGGGCAAGGAATGTCTGCTAAAATCAAAAGCACTTAGGGTTTATGTAGGTAGCTTCAATTGTTCAGAAAATTCATTTGCATTATTCAATCAAGAAGGACAAATACAATGACATACTTCTTTTTCACTTTTATTTTTATTTTTTTTTCATTGCACACACAGAACTGGCAGTCAGCCTACGGCAGAAGGTAAAGGTAACTCCACTAAAAGGCACCGTTTGCAAACCAGGAAAGTGGAAAGAGTCAGTGTGGGCAACACAGGTCAGACCCTAATAACCAGTAATAAGAGTCGGAATTTTCAAAAAGCCTACTAGGTGCTATTTAATATTTACTTAAACATCAAAAGAATCAGAAGAGGAAACGTAAAGCTCCTCACTCCCAGTGTGCAACGGAGGGCGGGGCTGACTGCACTGTGAATACCAATTCTGTGATTCCGGACCGGAAGCCAAGCACCTGCAGCGTGCGTTAGGCATGTGCTTTCCTTGTGTAGAAGCACATAAAACAGCCCGAACTGTCACAGGACTAAGAAGGTTGCAAGAGTCCCGGGAAAAAGCTACGCAATCACAGTTGATACAACTTTCATCCAATGACCGCACAACTGGGGCGGGGGGGGCGCTGCTGCTCTCCTGACGTCTCACCATCCAGATAGAAAACCTCAAAAATGGCTTTGGATTGACTGACATTTTCCCCTCTGCAGAGATAGCCTCCATCTGCAGACATCTTTTGAACTAAAAAAAAAAAAAAACCCCACAAACTATGCTGGAGTTGGCCTTTTAAATAAGTATGGCTAAAACTGACTTTTAAAGTTATACAATAAATTAGCTCAAGTTAAAATTATTAACTTGGGACCAGGGAGAGGAATAAAACAATATAACTAAAATGATAGAACTAAAATGATAAAACCAACCAGGTGCAGTGGCTCACACCTGTAATCCCAGCACTTCAGGATGCTGAGGCAGGAGGATCACTCGAGCCCAGGAGGTCAAGTCAGCAGTTAGCTGGGATTATACCTCTGCGCAACAGCCAGAGCAACAGAGTGAGACCCTGTCTCAAAATAAAAATGATACAGCCGATATTTAGGCAGTAGCAAATTTTCTAACACTTTTTGCTACTATAATCTTACTAGAGTAAAATTTTTATCTTCACTCTTAGCAAGCTATGTAAAATTCTAACTTCCTGTTTGATTTCCTGGACCATACATGAGTTACAACATGAATCATCCTTATCAACTCAGTGAATGAGTTACTGTCATTATGAGCACACCCACTGGTTAAAATCCTTATCATCATATACAATGCTGAAAAAGCCAAAGTTCCATAAACCAGAACCTATCTGAGAACCTAACAGTCACTTACAAATGTGTCCACATTTTACAAAAGAGGAAACTGAGTCTGAAAGACGGGAAATGGGTAGGCGACTTGTCTGAGTGAGTAATGGCCAGAAGCCAGATTTTCTGTGATCTAAGACAGTCCACCTTAGAGGAGACTTTAAAATAAGCTTGCACCGTGGGCTGCAAAGCTGGATGGTAAACCATTCTTTTCTTCACTACCTGGACTTTTGCTTGTCTCCTTTTTTCTACTTAGGACCAGTGTGCGCGTCCTTCATGTCTCCACTGGAGCTCCTTGCTGCAATCTATAACAATAGATCCGGGACTCTTTCTGCTCTCCATACTGACTCCCCGCTTCCCCCAGGCAAGGCTAATTGATACAGAACCCTCGCTGGAAGACAGAAAAAGAAGGCACAAGAAACCGAGCGGTCTGACAGGTCACCCAGCAAAGGAACAGCTTAACTAGAAATAGAAAGCAGATGCTCCTAGCATCCATTAGATTAAAGCAGATTAATGAGGCTTATCCCAGCCTTGGCAAACGTTTCAGATGAAATCATGCATGCAGTCTGGCACCAAAGGAAAATTAGAAGATTCTATCCGCAAAAGTGAAAGCGTAAAAGGCTGCCACACCATCCGAAAGTTACCGGTCACTTTGAGTTTTACTAACTTGCTCTGCAACAGCACTTTCTGTGATCTCTAGTTTTTTTCTAGAGTCTAATGGAAAAAGAAGGGCTATTTCAGGGATTGGGTATGAAGTAAGCATTTACCCTCTCCTCAAAAGGACTGAGGGCCAATGAAGCCTGGTTCCTGTTCCGCAGCAGGCTGAGGTGGAGAGGAACCCCAGTCAGAGGGCATACAGGTGACAACCAAGAAAGTTCCTGCCTGAGAGGGAGAAGGGATGGAGCGGAAGAGCCACGGCTGCTGGAGAGGGAAGGGAGGACCGGCCTCACCCTGCACGCAATTCCCGACCCACTCAGCTCTGCATGGCCTCTCACCTCAACCAAACCCAGTCAAGCATCATCGATAGTGTATAGTATGGGAATTCCAGCTCCCACTGCTATCCAGGCAGGTTCTACGAGGGAAGAACTTCTCAGCAATGCCTTGATATGCATGACATTCACCAGAGACCAAAGCAAAGAGTTATGGAGGTAGAAACACAGCCAACCTCCCAGAGAAGAACCATCAACAGACACTAGCTATGACAGCATCAGCATCATCACCATGCTTCTTATGTATACCACGTAATAAACAGGTTTTTAATTCATGATACTGTTCTACCAGCAAACAAGTGGGGAGTTGATTCTATTGCCTTAAACTGTTTCTTTCCAATGCAAGACTGCCACCTCGTGGCTACAGAGGACACAACCACAGGCAAAAATGATTTCATTTACTGGGAAGGGGCTGGGGAGGTGGTGATGGAAGAATAGGAATTCTCACCCAGTTCTCAACGGGATTTCTACCCAACTTGGCAATGACCCCGGAATGCCTACCTTGTGAAATGGAGGAACTATGTGGAATAAAGGGTCAACCAGGGAGTGTGCTTTATCACACTGGAGATCTCAATATAGAGCCTAATTCTCTAACCTGGCATATTAAGAGCTATTTAACACCAACATTCAGCTCTAAAAAAACCATGCAGCTAAAAATGTTGGACAAAAAATTAAAATTATTTTCTGACCTGGTCACAGAAAGTCCTTTTTTCCTCAAATAGAAGCTGATTCCATTGTAGCTCAGCCACAGGACTGCTTGACAGTCTAAAGCCTAATCTGGGCCCCATCTCAGCTCTCCTGGATCTGAGTCTAACAAGATCCTCGGGAAATCCAGTCACTGCACAGACTCCAGCAGTGCTTCGGAACAATTCAGCCGGCTGTCCACAACACAGAAAGTCACTGCTGGCCAAGAGCAAGCGTGCTTCAAGTAGCTCCGGACAAATACATAGATTTCAACAAGTGAAGAAATGCTTAATCTTACCTTTTGTGAATTTCATATAGTGAACACGGTTTTTGGAGATTTTGGACTTTTCCTCAAGGCTAAAAGACTTCTTTTCCTTCTTGTCTGAGGAGTCTTTAAAAAAGATGAAAAAAAAAATTACATGAAAGTCTTGTAATCCAGTCTCATTTATTCTCCTAACAGTGAATGGTCCTCAAAGAAAATTGTAGGAGCCCATCATTCATGACTAAACTCTCATTAATTTGCTCTGCAACAGCACCATTCTGCTGCATCTCTGGTTTTCTTCTATGGACAATTAGAAATATTTCCTTAATTTGCGTACTACGGATCAGGCAAGGCTGCCCTCTGGAAATTTAGACTATCCTTGAGGAAGAAATGAAAACTTGTGTTCACACAAAAACATAGATATGAATGTGCATATTAGACTTATTCATAATGGAAAAATATCAAAAATCGCCCCCAAGTCCCTCAACATGTGAGTGAATGAACAGCTGAGCAACCCCTGAGCCATCCTCACAGTGGAATACCAATCCACTGAGAAGAGGGGTGGCGGCCGCTACTGCAACGAACAGCCAGGACACTTACTGAAAGAGGTCCATCTACAAAACATACCGTACAACTCCATTTACAGAACATTCTAGACAGGACAAAACAACAGAGGACAGATGAATGGTTTCCAGGGGACAGGGATGAAGGTATCAACACAAACACGAAGCATGAGGTTGCTGTGCCATGGTAGCCAATCCTGTATCTTCACTGTCATGGTTGCTCCATGAATATACACTTGTGATAAAATTGCACAGAACCCTATGTCCATGCACAAATGAAAGGAGACCAAAAAAAAAAAATATGAAAACTGGATAAGGTTTGTGGTGCAGTTAACAGTAACACCAAGTGTCCACCTCCTGGTTTTGAAAAGTGACAGCAATATAAGGTGCCACCCCCAGGAGAAGCAGGAGGAAAGGTATTCAGGACTCTTCGTACTATTTTGCGAACTTCTACAAGCCTGTAATTATTTCAAAATAAAAAGTTATTTTAAAAAGCGAATAAAGGTAAGACAGGTTAAATGACCATCTAAAAACAGATGAGAGATGGTGATGAGGTGACGCGTGACGGAACGGCACCAGCTGTGAGCCACCACCTGCAACGTCGAGGCCTCGGGGAGGACCACTGGCAGGGCAAGAGGAGCAAGAGCACACCACTTAGGACGACATCCGAGTGGGAACTCCTCTGACAGAAGAGAAAACCACAGCCAGAAGAGTCTCCTGCTTGAAGTATCACAGCAAGCCGATCTGGGGCTAGAGTCAATTACAAAGTAGCTAGCTGCCTGCATCCTCTCACCTGTATCTATTTGAGTTCAGACAGAAGAGTGCCATAGAAACAGATCCGGGTAGAAAGGAGACTAAATTTTCCTATAGTTTTAAGAACATTTAGCTATCAGATTAGAGAAAGTGGAAAAAAAGAAACGTTCACCCTAATACTGATCATAACAAGCACATGTCCATTCACTGGCACGTGATTAACTTCACAGGCGCAACGAGAACCCTACAGCAGGCTTGGAAAGAGAAGACAGACGTGCCACACTCAAAGCAATGCCCAGCGTGGGCTCATTATTTCAACAAACTGAAACATTCTCTTCTGCAGCCACTTCCCAAGGACACCCTAGAGTTTTTTCAAAGACATCGATCTACCAGTAAAGTCTTCTCTTTTGCACTTCCTATGGCACATAAAAATCTCAATACTGATGTTCTAATCACAAATCCCTGAATCAGCTGAAAGTACCTCCTGCCGCCCGCAAGCTTATGCGGGACCAGGTGCTGGACTGGAGGCTCTCCATGCATTCTCAGATTTCCCTCCCACAGCTACTCCCTAGGAGAGCTGCTGCGATGCCGGAACCCACTGCAGAGGTCGGCACTGACAGGGCACAGCCAGGAAGGGGCCGCGATGGGAAGCCCAGGCAGACCTGACTGAGAGGACACATCCTGAACCACCACACTGTACCGCTCACAGGGCGGCTCTCGCTCTTCAGATCGAACTATCACCTGGGAAGCTTCTGTACCTTCTGAGTATGCAGATAGACCGAAGGATGCCTGAGCACGGGCAGGCCTTGAGGAATAACTTTCTGTCTTTGCTCATGGGCACTCGTTCCTGAAAGTGCTTGGAGTGTGAGTGGATGCGCCACTCCGGCTGTCCTTTCCCGTCTGTCCCCTCCCATTCATAAAAGAAAGGCACAACCTTCCGCTAACCAGGATCAATGAGGGACAAGTGAAAATGCTTGAGTCAAAGCGGCTGGACCAGTCCCCACATCCCTACCACCAACACAGCTCATCAAGAGGTGCACTACCAAAGAGATGTGCTTGTTTAAAAAGCATTCGTCAAAGTTGAAAACAGATCTGCTGATTTTACTAACTCTAATCTACTCATCGTGAGGCCAGGTGTGGTCCCAGCACCCTGGGAGGCCAAGGCAGGTAGATCACCAGGTCAGGTGTTCGAGAGCAGCCTGACCAACACGGTGAAACCGCCATCTCTACTAAAAATACAAAAATTAGCTGGGCGTGGTGGCGGGTGCCTGTAATCCCAGCTACCCAGGAGGCTGAGGCAGAAGAATCGCTTGAACCCAGGAAGTGGAGGTTGCGGTGAGCCGAGATTGAGCCACTGTACTTCAGCTTGGGCAACAGAGAAAAACTCTGCCTCAAAAAAAAAAAAAAAAAAAAAGTCTATTTATCATGATGACAACTTAATCCAACTTTTTTTTCTTTTTTTACATTAAAGCCTTGGGTTATCAGAAATAAACCAAAAACTTAACATATACTTGTTTTGTGGCAGAGAAATATAATAGGGTGGTCAATTTTTAAAAAAAGTTTTTAAGCATAAAAACATATTAATATAAAATACTATGGGGTCTATGAAATGGAAATGCTATTTCGGGAGAAAAGATATTATGAACTATAACATTTCTGACTTTCTGTTGTTGCTGAGACAGGGTCTCACTCTGTTACCCAAGCTGGAGGGCAGTGGCGTGATCACTGCTCACGGCAGCCTGGGCTCAAGGAATTCTCCTGCCTCAGCTTCCCAAGTATCTGAAACCATATGCTCACATCACTATGCCAAGCTAATTTTTTGATTCTCTGTAGAGATGGGGTCTCACTTTGTTGCTCAGGCTAATTTCACGCAACCTCCCTACACCTCCCTACCTTAGCCTCCCAATGTGCTGGGATTACAGATGTCCAGCTGATTTCTACTAAAGCAGCATTTCTTTTTCTCCCCACCCCGCCCACCCACACGGACTCTCACTCTGTCACCAAGGCTGGAGTGCAGTGGCACAATCTTGGCTCACTATGACCTCTGCCTTCTGGGTTCAAGTGATTCTCCTATCTCAGCCTCCCGAGGAGCTAGGATTAGGCACATACCCCCATGTCTAGATAATTTTTGTATTTTTAGTAGAGATGAGGTTTCACCATGTTGGCCAGGCTGGCCTCCAAACTCCTGACCTCAGGTGATCCATCCACCTCAGCCTCCCAAAGGGCTGAGATTACAGCCATGAGCCATCTCGCCCAGCCAAATACTTGTTGATGTATTTTAAATAGACGACAGTGGGCATCAAGCTGTTATTGTGCTTATTGTAGTATACTGCAGACCTTTAGGACTGATGTCATGGTTTTATTTTTAAATGCCATATAATGTTCACTGGACACATTTAAGAGTAATAGAACGGTTTTATTTTAACATGTCAGTATTTTCCAAAAGGCCAGAAATTATATTCTTTATAACTATGTACCTCTGATTAAAAAAAAATCCTAGATGCAAAAAAAAAAAAAAGTGAGACAGGGTACACTGTTTTTTAAATTCTCCTAGGAAATATGTGAGCAAAGCAAAAACTGAAGACAACTGCTATAAAGCACCCCTTTGCAGATCACAGGTGCCCTGCTTACTTCTAAAAATCACACATTCTTTTGTGTAATACAAAAATAAGCATGTTTCTTACAATTAATTAAAACAAAATTACCCTGTCTCATTTAGTTATTCCCTGTCACATTCAACTTAGTGTTGTAGCAGACTTAAGATAAGGAGATGCTTGTTAACGCTCATCATAGATTTTTATCATCTGTGATTTTAAGTATTTAAGTGGCTCACTTCTGTAATCCCAGCACTTTGGGAGGCCATGGCAGAAGTATCACTTGAGGCCAGGAGTTCGAGACCAGCCTGGTCAGCATGGCAAAACCTCATCTCTACTAAAGGCTATAAAACTTAGAGGGGTGTGGTGGCATGCGCCTATAATCCCAGTTATTCAAGAGACTGGTGTGGGGGAATCCTTGGAACCCAGGAGGTGAAGGTTGCAGTGAGCCGAGATTGCCCCACTGCCCTCCAGCCTGGGCGACAGAGCAACGCAGTGTTAGGAAGGAAAGGAAGGGAGGGGGTAATACACTGGTGCGGTTTGGCTCTGTGTCCCCACCCAAATCTCATTTTGATGTGTAATCATAGGGCCAGACCAAATGGAGACTGAATCCCAGGGGCAGTTTCCCCTGTGACAGTGAGTGAGTTTGCAGGGTATCTGATGGCTTTATAAGGGGTTTCTCCCCTCACTCAGCTCTCATGCTTCTCCTTCCTGCCACCAGGTGAAGGATGTGTTTGCTTCCCCTTCCACCATTATTCTAAGTTTCCTAAGGCCTCCCAGCCATGCTGATCTGAGTCAATTAAACCTCTTTCCACTAATAAATTACCAGTCTTGGGTATGTCTTTATTAGCAGTGAGAACAGACTAATATAGACACCAAACAGAGTACCAGGTCAAGTCAATATCCTTGTTAGGACTGACAGAAATGGGGGTGCCTCTAAGAAAAGGCGAGACTCAAGTTTCTGTCTCTATGACTGTAGTGGTAGGCCTAAATGGCACCTCAAGTCTGACACGCTAATCATGTCATTGAACCTATTTAGGAAAAGTGACTGCACTTATACATGAGCAGACACTCAGTAAGGTAGAAGCTGACGCCTGATATTCAAATTGCTTTATCTGCTACTATTTAATTAGCCTTCGCCACAGCTTTAATATGACATCAATTGCACATGCCATATTTCACCTTCTGTCTACGAGAAAGGGGACCACGTAGTTATTCA